ATATAATAACTTAAATATGATTGTTTCGATTTGTTTACTTACACAAATTGTCTTTTTATTCGAAGTTTAGGTCACAATATAATCTTGAATCTTTTTGTATTATTCAGTTCATCCGGATGTTCCTTGCAGAAAGCATTCCAAGACTCAAGTTAGTGTTTGTCTACATAGTCTGATAATAAATGCATAGTAAAAAGTATCACACTACCTGAATGTCAAACCTGTATTTATAAACTTCTTTGATGAACTTTTAATTAGTTATAACCGAATTACGACTCATATGCTAGTAATATGGTTTAGGTTTAACCTAATTATTCTTAATAGCTTATCTTGTTTGTGGTCTGACTGATCGGTCATTTCGTTGTTGGATGGTTGATAGCTCGGTTCATGGCTGATCGGACGGTCATACAGTACGCATATAAGAACTGAGAAATTCAGAGAAAGTGGAAAGACATGTGTATGCATTTGAGTGGACGATCGGTTTTTTACGGTAGTATATAAGTAAAAGTTTCAAAATTTTACTCCATTCTATGCATGCACTCTCTCTCTCTCCAAAGTTCTGATCTCTTCTTTTCTCCTCCTTCTCTCTAAAAAATCTCTCATCTTACTTAATCTACTTTATAATTAGACCAAATTTAAGTCATATTGGAGTCCAAAACAACATTTTCAACCGATCAAAGTCTCGTTTAGGGCTGGTGAGTCTCGAGTTCTTGAGTTCTTGTGAGATTCCAAAACTTTTTGAAACATGCAAGTCAATTTTCTAGTTGCATGTGCTCATCTACTTCCTCTTCCCATTTCTGATCATAAATCTGATCTTTTGGTGGGTTTATTCTTATGAATCGGTGAATTTTAGGTGGTGATCGAGTTTTACCGCCGTTGAGTGTACGGTTCGGTCAAAAAGGCAAGGGAAACTAGTTAATTTAATTGCTTAGTTTATGATGTATGAAAATGTTGTGTCTTGGGGATGCATGTGTGTGAAACTGAATGATTGTGTGCTTGATATGGTTATTGAAGAATATTATATGTTGTATTCATGTTGATTGTGGTTCTGCATAGTGTTGGTTCAGTGACCGAGTGGTATTGGAAGGAATTGTGGTAGTAAAAGTGGAGAATTTGGGTTCGGTGAGTTTGGTCTGTATGAGAAATGTTTAGATGTTCTTTAGAAATGTATAGGTTTGTATAATATAAAATTGGGAGGATTAGAAGTTGAGAAGAATGAAAGAAATTGGTAAAGATTTGGTGTTGATCATAATTCTGCAGTCATTCTCCAGAATTATGTAGTTCGCTGAGGGTCCTTCGTTGACCGTTCGGCCTTCTCCTTGTATCCGGTCTTAACTAAGTTATGCTTATGTGGAACTTTAGTTAATCACCGATCAGTCTTGTACTGGTAGTTGATTTTTAAAATAGTGTTCGATCTAGTATCAGTATTGATATTCGGTCTTAATTGTGTTCGGTCTCTTATAAGCGTTACCAATTAATGATCGTTCTGTTTGAGTTGGTATTCATTTTATTATACCGTTCGGTCATACTATGGTACCTTTTGGTCCTACACTAGAGCTCGGTCTCTTAGTGGGGATAGGTCTTCTTTTAGAATTCGGTCTATATTAGCATTCGATTTTGTTGGGGTGTTCGGTCTAACATTGGTTCTCGGCCTTGCTATAGAATTGGAATGTTATAGTATTCGGTCTCACTTCTAGTAGTCGGTCAGTAATAGTGTTCGGCTACTTCTTCAACATTACCTAGTATGGATCATTTGGTCCTGTTCTTTAGATAGTGAAAGACCGTTCAGTCTCGTACTAAGTGTTCTGTCTAAGTTATAAGAGTTTTGTCTAAGTGATTAGTATTTGGTCATATTCTTAGGTGATAATTGTTACCGTTCGGTTTGACCTTACTAGGAAGCTTTCGATCTGTAAAGGGTTATGGTTATATTGTATTGTGAGTGTTTATTTCAGTGGTTTAAATGTATTATGTATGAGAAATAATGTTGATATTGTAGTATGGTATGAGATTTCTAAAGGTAAATATGAAAGAGAATTCCAATGAGGAATGTCTCGGTGGTTGGTTTTCAATGTAATAGTATGGTATGAATATGGATAGTGGAATCCACGACGTTCATCGTGACATTCTAATGGTTACCAAATCTCAAGTAGAGGTGGGTAATTCATGTCGTGAGAATAACAAAAGGTCCTAGTCTAAGGGAGAAGATCTTAGGTGAGGTATAACGGGCTAACCTCGTGTGGCAGCTGATGGGTTTCTAGTTACTACACCCACGAGTGCACGAACGACCATAGCTACATATTCATACCAGTCCAGACAGTCTAATTAAAGTGGTCGGTCATAATATGTGTATGTGTTTTATGCAAATGTATGAGTGTTTTATTGGTTTATTGAATTGTATGTTAACTTGATTGTTAAATTACACTAGCGTACCCTACTTTTCTTTTTTGCCATGGTTACCCATTCGGTTTATCCTTTGCAATGATCATCCGATGGATGTGAGTAGAAGTAGAAGAGGTCTCGATGGAGCAAGCTTTGGAAGGAGAAGATCCACTAGTTTAGTATATATCGTTCGGTCTTGTACATAGTTTTGGGCTCCGCTATTGTCCGTTCTGGGATATGGTTGGGCTCCTCATGAGGTAGGGCTTTATGTTCCCTACTTCTACATCAGTTCATCCTTACAAAATTTTAAGGATCGAGTGGACTTAGTGGCGGAGGTTGCCGATGCCACATGCTTTAAATTAGTTGTTTGCAAAAGGAATGAACGTGTTTGTCACGAGAGTGAAGGTTATGCGATTGATTTTTTCTATGTGTATTCTACCATCTTTCGCAACATGTCCGTTTGGGTTTCCTTTTTTAGACTTCTAGATGGGCGTTCTACGAAAGTTAAATGTGGCCCCCACCCAGCTGCATCCGAACGGGTAGGCATTTATCATCATTTGGAAGGCTCTCACTCTAACTCCGACGCTCGCCTCCTTTTTGTACTTTTTACGCACCCAATCGCACCCTAATGGGTTTTGGGTATCACCTATATAAAGCACTTCAATGTGAAACCTGTATTTATAGACTTTCGTGATAGACTTCTAATTAGGTATGACCCAATTATGACCCATATGTTAATAACCCGATTTAAGTTTATCCTAATTACTCTTAATAGTTTATCTTCCTTGTGCTCTAACCAATCAGTCGTTTCGTTGTTAGATGGTCATACAGTATAATGATATTTTAGTTATTTATTTTAAATGGTTTAATTATATATACCAATAATTTTAACATAATATTTTAATAGTTTATGAAGAAAAATTTATTTATATGTATAGAACAAATTTGATTTGATATTTTAATCATTTCTATGATTAATACATTATTCATCATTGATTAAAAGTTAGTATGCTTATTATATATCATTGATTCCATGTGCTAACTTGAAGGAATTTTAAAAATAATTATAATTTATTTCAAGAACATGTCTCTTTGAACCTTGTTAAGAAAAATCAATCTTTAAGAAAAGTCAATGTTAGAAATCAAATCCAAGCTAAGTAAAAACATTATATAATTCCATTATAACAATTTCAATCAACTATAAGATATCTTGTACTATAATTATAAAACTTGCAATTTTTCTTTTCTTGTCATTGTTGCATGACAATTGTTGTGTTCAAAAGATTTTGTCGTTCTTTGAAGCAGATTTTTGTTGTGTGCTTTCAAGAATTGAAATAGACAAATTTATCTTAAGATTAGGCAAAAACGAAATGGTGGTTCATCTTCTAGTAGCAACCATAAAATTTTATAGTCGAGAAAAATGTTATGAAACCCTAAAATGAACGTCAAATATTATTATTACAAATGAGCATTGTTCTTCAAAAATAGAAAGAGCAGGGTTGAGTTTAATATTCCAATACACATATATTGAGACTAGATATTTGAGTTTAATATTCCAATACATATATATTGAGTTATGGATGAACATCATAATATATCCACTTAAAAGATTGTATAACACTCAAGTTAATAACAACTATTAAAAATATTAGATTTATATTAGTATATAAGTATTAAGTAATAGAGTTGAGTAATTACACTATGATATTATTAATATTTATAGGCTTATTGGTCTCTTTAATAAAGACTAAGTAAGCAAAAGATATAATTAGTTATACAACCCTATAATAAAGACTTAATAACCAAACGATATAATTAGTTGTATCAGTTGAATAATATTACATATCTTTCCGTCAAATACTTATTTGATTGTTAATAAGGAATAAATAATCATATGTAGTTATTAGTTCCTTATTCAAGTTATTGAAAGTATTTGGATTATTTTCATTTAGTTAAATATTCTTCCAATATTATTTAATAATGATTATTGTACTGTATAATCGTCTTGTCAATGACTATATGTACAATGATTGTTTGGTTAACTATAACTCAAACGATAACTGCTAAGTCAACTATAACTTGGATTATCAACCATCAAGTGTGTAATTGATGGAAGCACCTGCAAGAATCTTACACGAAGGAAGCAATCTATTTTCAGAGGTGTAGTAGTGATGAAGATTAGATGAAGGTATGATGAGTGTGTGAGGCCTCACAACTCATAAGGTCTTCCTACTAAGGAAGGAAGCTAGAATAGAGTAAGTGAATTTGAAAATTCAGTGTGAATAAAGAGCAAAAGTAGTTGGACACAAATCAACATCATCTTGTTAAGCTCTTAAGTGAGTTTTTACAAAGGCTAGGCTCTCTTATTTATAGGTAAGGGAAAGCCTCAAATTTGGTGCAAATTCCCTCAAAAATTGAAAATATAGAGTCAACTGTAAATGTCAGTTGTAATGACATGAAATCCATGTTTGAAACACAAAGAACGTGGGCTCCAAGTGGCAGACTTGTTAAGACAAAAATTGTCTATGCACCCAAAGACTCTCATGTTTTAAAGTTTAATCAAATAACATTAAAATGGATAGTAATCTGAAAACAACTTAGGGTGAAAACACAAGACCTAGAACCAAAATCCTCAAACATAGAAAACCTACACAAAAACTTAGAACTAGAATCTTCAACATAGAAAAGCTTAGGAAAGCACTTAAAAAAACATCTAGGATAAAACACTCAAACGCATGAATAAACTTTATTGTGCCTAAAGCGCCTAAGAGAGTTGAAGTAAAATGCTTAATGCTTATCATACCTGAAAGAGGTATTCAACATAACTCTCGGAAGCAAAACCATCAAGACGACGTCTATAACAAAACACATTAAAAGACTTTAATTATTAAAATATAAAAAGAAAGCTTTAACAAGCTAAACACTATCTGTCTAAAAAGAGACAAAACCAAAAAAAGTGTTTACTTGACTAAACGATACCATAAGCTTAAAACAATACTTTGTCCAACGATGAAGTCCCTATACAATATTTGGTATCTTTAGGAAATATCTTAATTGCAAAAACCTACCTAACGATTGGAAATCAAAAAACACTTTTTTGTTCTGAGCAAGCAAATCATGGAATTTATAACCAATATTAAACAGTAATCGATTGATCCACAATTGCAATCGATTTCATTTCTTTCCATTTGACTTAATCTCCAGTTGTTCATCCAGAAGCAATGTTCCTGCAAAACCTTTCAAGATCTTTTCCAGATCAAGCATTTTAGAATCATTGTAATGCAAGAATTATTACAGGTATAATCAGTGTGTGTAAATGTATGAATGCAATGATAAACAGTAAAGCAATCAACTTCATACACAACACAATCGACTTTAATCAGATATAAATCACTACTTTATACAACTGTCATTTAAGATTCCTAGTTCATTTCGAATAGTATTAAATCTTTCTTTGTTCAACGGTTTTGTAAAAATATGAGCCCATTGATGTAAGGTATCTACATATTCGACCTTAATTTCATCCTTGAGGATGTGGTCTCGTATGAAGTGATGCCTTATTTCAATATACTTAGTTTTCTAATGAAGAACAAGATTTTTAGTCAAATTTATTGCACTTGTGTTATCACATTTTAAGGGAATGTGATCTAGTGATATATCGTAATCTTCTAGTTGGCTCTTGATCCAAAGAGACTAAGTACAACAGCTACCAGCTGCTATGTACTCAGCTTCTGTGGTGGATAATGCCACACAAGCTTGTTTCTTTGAATGCCAAGAGACTAAAGAAGATCCAAATAGATGACAAGTGCCACTAGTGCTCTTTCTATCTAGCTTACAACCTTCAAAGTCAGAATCACTATAACCTTCAAGAAAAATATTTGTACCATTTGGATACCACAGTCCAAGACTTTGTGTTCCTTTAAGATATTCCAAAATTCTTTTTACAGTAGTTAGATGTGATTCTTTAAGTGAAGACTGAAATCTAGCACAAAGACATACACTATGCATGATGTCAGGTCTACTGGCAGTTAGATATAACAAAGATTCGATCATACCTCTGTACATCTTTTGATCAACATTCTTACCAGCTTCATCAAGATCTAAATAGCAGTTTGTAGCCATGGGAGTTGGAGCTTCATTGCAATCCAACATTTTGAATTTCTTCAACAGATCAGTACAGTACTTTGATTGGTGAATGAAAATGCCACTTTTAGCTTGCTTGACTTGAAGACCAAGAAAGTAAGTAAGCTCTCCCATCATGGACATCTCAAACTCATCCTGCATAGTCTTGGAAAATTCTTTGCACAAAGTAGGATTAGTTGATCCGAAGATAATGTCATCAAAATAAATTTGAACATATAATTTATCTTTATTTTAACTTTTAATGAAGAGAGTTGAGTTAACTTTACCCTTTGAGAATCCTTTCTTTACCAGAAACTCACTTAAGCGCTCGTACCATGACCTTGGCGCTTGGTTCAACCCATATAAAGCCTTTTTGAGCTTGAAGACATAGTTTGGATGTTATAAATCCTCAAATCCTGGTGGTTGTTCCACATAAACTTCGTCTTTAATATATCCATTTAGGAATGCACTTTTGACATCCATTTGATATAGCTGGAATTTCATCACTGGTGCAATAGTAAGAAGAATTCTTATTGCCTCTAGTCTAGCCATAGGTGCATATGTTTCATCATAATCGATTCCTTCCTCTTGGCAGTATCCTTTTGCAACTAATCTTGCTTTATTTCTTATGATTTCACCTGAATCATCCATCTTATTTCTGAAAACCCATTTTGTGCCTATGACCTGCAGGTTATTTGTTCTTGGTAACAGTTCCCATACATTATTCCTCTTAAACTGGTTTAGTTCCTCTTGCATGGCCATCATCCAATTTTCATCTTCAAGAGCATCTTCAACCCTTTTTGGCTCAATCTTAGACACGTATGTAACATTCATACAAAACACATTCAGTTTCCTTCTTGTAGACACACCTCTCGTAATATCACCAATTATGTTTCCTGTAGAGACATTTTTAGGAACTTTCCATTCCTTAACCGATTCTGTTATGGGAGCATCGATTACATCTTCAGAGTTCTCTTCTTCTGGAATTTCCTCATTTTCTTCCTCTTCTCTAGTAGAGTTGTCAGCTTCTATAGATTTTCTAGTCTGTTCAGGATTAACAGTGGTTTCAACATACTCGTCAAACGCAACGTGAATCGATTCTTCAACACCCATTGTTCTCTTGTTGTATATCCGATAAGCTTTTCTTGTAAGTGAATGTCCTATAAAAATTGCTTCATCAGCCTTGGAGTCAAACTTACCAAGGTTTTCCTTTCCATTGTTTAGTACAAAACATTTGCATCTGAAGATCCTTAGATGTGAGATATTTGGTTTTCTTCCTTTGAATAACTCATATGGAGTTACTTTCAACATTGTTCTTATTACAGTTTTGTTCAACACATAGCATGTTGTACTTAGTGCATCTGCCCAGAAATACTTTGGCATGTTCCTTTCATTCAGCATTGTTCTTGCTAACTCTTCCAATGCCCTATTCTTTCTTTCAACCACACCATTTTGTTGAGGTGTTCTAGGTGCTGAGAAATTGTGAGATATTCCCATTTTCGCTTAGTATTCATCAAATGCTTCATTCTGAAATTTTTTTGTCGTGGTCACTTCTAATCGATTTGATTCTGAGTTCCTTCTCATTTTGAATAATAGTAGCAAACTTCTTAAACACTTTGAACGTGTCACTCTTGGCAGGGATGAAGAAGGTCCAAGTGAAGCGAGAATAGTCATCCACGATTACTAATCCATAAGAATTTCCACCTTGACTTTTCACCCTTGAGGGACTGAATAAGTCCATGTGTAGAAGTTGAAGAGGTCTGGAAGTTGGCATCTCCCTTTTGTTCTTGAAGGACTGCCTAGTTTGTTTTTGGCATGCATCACATAATCTCTCAGAAGCGTAGCCAATGTTGGGAAGACCAATGACAAGATCCTTTTATACTAGCTTATTCAAAATATTCATAGAAGTCGTTAGTAACAGAGTTTAATCTTGCATTGCAAGTAGTTGATATCAGTTCAAATGCAGATTAACTTATCCTTCTTGTTTGAAAAACATACGCCATTTTCCAGGATCAGTCGATTTAACAGAAAACGTAATCGACTAGTTTTTCAAATATTTTATGAAAACTAGCTCTGGTGCCAATTGTTCAAAATAGAATGGCTTAGTTTTCAACACCAAGAGGGGGGTGAATTGGTGAAATACAAAAACAATGTTTTCTTTAAATCTTTTTCGCAAAGTAGATGCCTTTAAAAGCTTTCTTGAAACGCAAGGAAAAAGACTTTGTAGTGCATCTTTATATAGTCGAATGCGTGAAAAATAAAGTCGACTGAATGTAACAGAGTAGGGATAAAAAAATCAAACACTGGGTTTTTAAACTGGTTCAGCCAAGGTTTTTACAACAAAGCTTTTATAGCGACCTCCATATCAAAAATATAAAACACACAAAGACCAGCAGCAAGATGTCCCATCTCCCGCCGTCTTCAACCCTTTGAGAAACCCCTCAAAGTCAAGAACGCAACACGCTCTTCTTCCTGTATTCACAACAGGGAATCAACCCAATCTTTAGTAGATTGTCAACTCTGATCTTTCAGTAAACACCTCTCTGTGAAGATTTGATCAGCTCTTTCAAAGAACATCAATCTTGCTCTTCAAGAAATCACAAGAGATGATCACAACGATCTTCTTCTTTGATTCTTGGAGCTCTTCCACATTTTGTAAGATAACACTAATCTATAATGAATATGAAAATGTTATAATTCACAAAAGTACCTTACAGAATTCAAATTCGCGTATATTTATAGTTTTTCACAATTCTGACGCTCTCAAGTCGACTTAGCTACTAATGTAGTCTAATACAACACTTCAGTCAAAGCAATTAGCAACAATAAATGCAGTTAATTGAATGTACAATTAATGCAGTCGAATCACAATAAATGCTTGGCAACATATCTAAAAATATAGTTGTTGTAACATTTAATTCAAGCATTAACAGAATTTCAAAACTGTAACAAACTTAGTCGAATGCAGGTTGCATGTAATCGACTATACAACACAATTAAACAAAGTTTTGAAAGACTTTCTCTTCAAAAATTCTCACAGCACACTTTGAAAAAAATTGTGCAAAGCCACGAGTTTTAATCGACTTACTTCATAATGAAGTTCAACAAAAGTACATGTGGTTTTTCTTTTCTAAAATTTATGTCATCATTCACATATAAGATCTCATGTAAAACTCAGTGAATTGCAGCAATGACAGAATCAACACAAACATGTTCTCAAATAACCATAAACATGAAAGCTATGAACATGTAACAAATAAACAACACATAACAACACATGTTGTTATTAATAATGTTGTCATCATAAAAAACCAGAAGCTCTGAGATTGTAGGTTTAGCTAAACTAGTGTTCCCCTTATCAACAATCTCAACATCATTGATACAATAGAACAGTTGATAGAAGGAGGAATAAAAGTTGTCCTTATAATTTTATAAACCATCACTCAAATTTAAAACTTAATACAATCCACACTTAAATAGAAACTAAAAATATGGATCTCGTCCTTATAACTAAATGCCAGTCGATCCTCCATCTAATGCCTGCTCCACCGGCATCTCATCACCTTCTACTCACACCCACCGGATGATCATCGCCAAATGAAAACACACAGCACAAAATAACAACCACACAATAGACAAAACAAGGGTGAGCTAATGTACCAGAAAACAACATGGTATATTTAAATTAGTAACATAATTTTCAACTTACAAGTCAAATTACT